AATAACAATGACAACTGCAACAAAAAAATAGCCAGGTGGTGTGGTGGTCGCCTGTAGGCTCAGCTACTTGGGAGGCTTAAGCCCAGGAGTTTGAGGTTGCTGTGAGCTGTAAAGCCACAGCACTTAACTAAGGCTGACATGATGAGACTTTGCCTCAAAAAAAAAAAAAATTATTACTGATAACATAACACTAACATAGACTAATATTTTATAATATTAGAACATATGTGTGTATATATAAACATAATCTATAGAAAATTAACTATCATTTTATATTTGATAATATTTTTATATAGTTTTGACACACTTTGATAGGTCTAATATGTCTTTCTCAGACTTTCAGTGGTCTAATATTTCAAAAGGATCAAATTTAGTAGGCTGGGTTCAGTGACTCACACCTGTAATCCTACCACTCTGGGAGGCCATGGCAGGTGGATTGCCTGAGCTCACAGGTTTGAGACCAGCCTGAGCCAGAGCAAGACCTCTTCTCTAAAAATAGCCAGGCATGGGGCTATGCCTGCAGCTTAGTGAGTAGGGCACTGGCCCCATATACCAAGAGTGGTGGGTTTGAACCCAGCCCTAGCCAAACTGCAACAACAAAAAAATAGCTGGGCATTGTGGCAGCTGTCTGTAGTCCCAGCTACTTGGGAGGCTGAGGCAAGAGAATTGCTTAAGTCCAAGAGCTGGAGGTTGCTGTGAGCTATGACACCACAGCACTCTACCGAGGGTGACAAAATGAGACTCTGTCTCTAAAAAAAGATAATAATAAAATTAAAAAATAGCCAGGCATTGTGGCAGGCACCTGTAGTCCCAGCTACTTGGGAGGCTGAGGCAAGAGAATTGCTTGAGCCTGAGAGTTTGAGGATACTGAGAGCTATAATGCCACAGCACTGTACCAAGGGTGACAACGTAAGACTGTCTCAAAAAAAAAAAAAAAAATCTAGAATTTTGATTTTTGGAAGATAGGTCAAAAGTATTAAAGGCTTAAAACATTTGTTTAAACAGGATCACAAGCAAAAAGATTTTAAAGGCAGTACAGAGCCAGGTGGATCACATGTAAATTTCTTGGTAAATTTCCTTTTATGAGTTCCATTTAACCTGAACAGAGAATTTACAAACATTTCAAACCTTCTGTTTTGCCCTGCCTTTGGCTTTCTTAATCAGTTACTCTGTTTCAGGACAATTTACCACACAAGATCCTTTCTTACACTGTGCTGCTTACTTATTTATTCATTTATTCATTCATTCATTCGTTTATTTAGTTTAATTGTTCTTCAAAAAAACCACTTTTCATAAAATAGGTCACAGTTTACTATAAAGTTAATTGTCTAAACTGATAATCAGAAGATTTAAAAGGCAAAATCTTATTTTTTTGACAAAGTCTCGGTTTCCCAAATAATCTGAACATTTTATAAATGACTCAGACATTTTATGAAACATAACATGACTTTTAAGTTTTTGAGTTACTGAAAAGTGTTTTGAAACCACAACATAGGCATCATTTCTGATCTCTTTTGCTTGTTCTCCTAAGTCTCACATGGCCACGTGGCATCAAAGATGGCTGTAAAGGACATGACCTATTTGTGTACTTAATTCTTTTACCAAGTGCAGAGTTCAAGACAGAAAGCAGGAATACTGGATCATTCAGTTTCTCTCAGAATAGCAAGGGGATGAAACAAGTTGGAGCTGGGAAGGGACCTTATGGGCTAGAGTGTACCTTGTAGCTGTTGTCTTAGGCAAAGAGAACATGTCCCTAGGCTTCAGCACAACCATCACCCTATCTGACCTCAGAATTCAGAGGCTCAAAATCAAGAACATAAGCTCATAGTCGAAATCTAGCAGATTTAGAAATATTACAAAAGTGGCAGTTTTATAATCTTTAAACATCTGAACTTTAGTAACAGGTTTAAAACTAGTTTTATTGGCTCGGCGCCTGTGGCTCAAGTGGCTAAGGCACCAGCCATGTACACCTAAGGTGGTGGGTTCGAATCTAGCCTGGGCCCACCTAACAACAATGACGGCTGCAACCAAAAAATAGCCGGGCATTGTGGCGGGTGCCTGTGGTCCCAGCTACTTGGGAGACTGAGGCAGGAGACTCACTTGAGCCCAGGAGTTGGAGGTTCCTGTGAGCTGTGATGCCACAGCACTCTACCCAGGGGGACAGCTTGAGGCTCTGTCTCAAAAAACAAACAAACAAACAAAAAAAACACTAGTTTTATTTATCAAAGGATATCAAAGTCACTTGAACAAAAAGGCATGAGTTGTTTTTTTTTTTTCTGTTTTCCTGGTGAAATACTTGATGTGTTTACTTTTTTAAAATCCAATTAATTGGAGCTATTGTGTGTGTATATATACTTATATAAATAATTTTTTTTTTTTTTTTTTTTGGAGACAGAGTCTCACTTTGTTACCCTTGGTGGAGTGCAGTGGCGTCATAGCTTACAACAACCTCAAACTCTTGGGCTGAAGCGATTCTCTTGCCATAGCTTCCCGAGTAGCTGGGACAACAGGAGCCAGCTACAGCACCTGGCTATTTTTAGAGATGATGTCTCATTCTGGCTCAGGCTGGTCTCAAACCTGTGAGCTCAAGCAGTCCACTCACCTTGGCCTCCCAGAGTGCTAGTGGTTGTTATATATTGTGGTGGATGGTATTGCCATTGAATGGATAGTGGCCAGCGATGCTGCTAAGTACCCTACAACATACAGGATAGCTTCCTCTATAATAAAGAATTATCTGGTCCAAAATGTCATAGTGCCAAGATTGGAGACCCTGCCCTGGGGATTCTGATGCAGTAATGAGGCAGGTTCTGTGAATCTGAACTTGTAGCAAGTACCTCAGGTGATTTTATGATCAGATAAATTTGGGAGTCACAAAAATATAGAGTGTAAATACCATAGTATGGCAAGGAAAAGTCAGTGAGGGCTCCCTGGAGGAGGTAGGGGAAGAGAAAAGAGAGGTCAGACATCCCTGGAGGGAGGAAACACATGGTATGCCATCAGAGCCAGGAAAAGGTGAGTCTGGTGGCTCAATTCCTCTGACCCCTCTGAGCAGCCTTCCCGCTTTGGTACCCCAAAAGCCACAACACCCCCTCCTGCGGGTTGGAATGTGCCATCTCTGGACTGTGTAGAGATCAGGGTGGAACTCACCCTTTTTCCCCTGAATGGTTCACTGAAAAACCTCACAATTATGGCAGATTAACAAGGGAAAGATTTATTTTCAAATAGCATGCCCATGGGGGGACCACAAGAATGATTACTCAGTGTCTCTGTGATGGTCAAATATTTTACAGATGCCTTTTTGAAGGGAAGGAGAAAGAATGAGGCGTGTGGTGCAGCAAGTGGTTGCTAGGGTGGATGAGTAGATGGGGAAACAAATTGACTTATAAATTAACTTGAGAGACAAGTATTGTGTTTTAAGTGATTGGGCCAGGTCTGCTAGCATTCCTGGGGAGGAAAGGAAGTCAGTTGCCCCCTTTTATCCCCTGATCAGGTCAGTCTGGTTTTATGCAGATAGAAAGCCCTTTCCAATGCTTTCTGATTGTGGATGGCCTTTAATTCAAAATATTCTATATGTTAAGTAGTTATATTTTGGGGTAAATTTTCCTTAGCTCTTTCAACTACAATAATGATGAGTTATGTGAAAAGCCCATCAGAGACCTAAAGCTGATTTTGAGTGCTGTCAGTAGACCCAGCCTTGTACTGTGCATCTTTTGTACATTCTTCCTTCATATTTGTATGCCACTCTGTCAGATACCATTAATAGAAGAGCAAACTGCTGGACAGAGAAGTTAAGTGAAGCAAGTAAGTGGGAGAGCTGGGTTTCTTAGCCTCTGCTGTACTGAGAGACTTCCTACGGCCCAGTCCAGAGCCTCCCAGTCTGCTCTGCTCTCCAGCCTTGGCTACTGGGTGGTTAGATCCTAGGCTGCCTTGTCTTGGACAGCCTTCCTGAATAGCCCTCATCCCCCAGGGCACCAGGAGAGACACTCCCACAACCAAGAAGCTGCTTGACTTCCATTTGTGTTTCTACTTGCTAGGCTTTTGGGCTGGCTTTGAAAAGGAAAGCTTCCTGCTTTGAAAGGAACCCAAATATTTAAAGTCAGAATGCTGACTGAAACCTCATGGAGAGTGTGTTTGGCTTCTTTGCCCTTATTTGTCTAAAGTATGATTCCTTCTCTGCAACCATTTCCGGATAGCATTCTTGAGCTGGAGCCCAGTGTCATGGTCTGCCTGTTTGTTTAAGGAAACTCCAGGCTGTCACTTGGATAATTGATTTCAGGGAGCTTGCTTTTTGTTCGCAGCTGAGTTGTCATGCATCGAAGGCAGAATGTGCAAGTTTTCTTCCCCAGCAGCTGAGTTGAGTTGGTTGCTGTTTCTCAGCTAAGGTTCTACTTGTCTTTTTAGTTGCAGTGAAAGGAGTTTTCCTATGATTTCCTTACTTTTTCTTTGTGGTCAAGTCTTCCCTTCCTCACTCTGGAATATCACTTAACCTCTCTGAGACTTTACTTTTATCTGTGGAAAATGTACTTTATCTGTAGAAAATGTCCAAAAAGGAAGGAAAGTATGTTATAAAATGGCTGGTTCCAGTTAAACTTTTCACTGCCCTTTACATTGGTGTTTTCTCACCTGTGGGGGGCAGGAGTCTTGCTGAAGCTCCTGGCCTGGCCTGGCCTGAGGTTGCCCTGCTAGCCAGGAAAGTTAGGACTTAACCTCATCAGGAGATACTTGGTGTTTCTCTGTTCCTATGTCACTTTCCTATACTTTCCTCCTCTTTCCAGGCCCTAGTCCTGAGTCCTGTCTCCTCCTCCAAATACCACTCCCAGTTTTTTCTTTCTTTGAAATGGAATCTGTTGCCCAGGGTAGAGTGCCATGGCCTTAGCCTAGCTCACAGCAACCTCAAACTCTTAGGCTCAAGCAATCTTCCTGCCTCCCTCAGCTTCCCATAGTTGGGACTACAGGTGCCCACCACACCTGGCCGATTTTTCTGTTTTCGGTTTTTTTTTTTTTCTATGGAACACTTCACGAATTTGCGTGTCATCCTTGTTCAGGGGCCATACTAATCTTCTCAATATTGTTCCAATTTTAGTATATGTGCTGTGAAAGCAAGCACCGATTTTTCTGTTTTTAATAGAGGCGGCGTCTCACTCTTGCCCAGGCTGCTCTCTAACTCCTGAGCTCAAGGGACCCAACTGCCTTGGCCTCCCAGAGCACAAGGATTACAGGCATGAACCACTGTGCCCAGCCTTAATAGAGGAGTTTTGAAAACTCTTAGACTCTCTGGTGGTAGAATATTAGGCCATCAGGCCAGCAACAAGATTGAAGGACCAGTTGAGAAGCAAAGGGGTAGTCTTCCTGGTTTTCACCCTCAAGAATTTTTCACTGTGACTGATTTGGTCAGCAGTTGGGAACTTCTTCCAATTCAATAAAAGCTATTTCCCCATGTTGACTGAGCTGCTTGAGTGCCAAGTCTGTGTTCACCAATTGTTGTTACTGGCTACTGGGTGCTTGTTGCAGGAGGTTCTGGGATAGTACTGTGTATAGGGCTGGTGAGAGTCTGGGGGTCATTCTTAAGAGCCAAAGGTTGCAGTCTGTGGGAGTGAGGCTTGTGCTTCTTTCAAAATGGCTCTGTTACTTGAGAGGCTGAATGAAGTTTTGTAGAAAGAGGAGTTAGATATTTGTTTACCCCAGAATTCTTCTCCCTATCATTGGGATGTGGTCCTTTGGTCCAGGTGTGGTTCATCAGGTACTTCTTGGAATGCTTTTACTAAGGAATATTTGAGGGTACTTCAGAAACATGTTTTCAAGCCTCAGGGGTCCTGGTGTCCAACAAAATCTAAGACCAGAGTAGTCTAGGGTTGTAGTTGTGTCCAGCCAGCAGGGCCTGGAGGCTGTGGCAGTGGCGCCTGGGCAGAGCCTACTCAGCCTTTTGCTGATAGGTAGGTAGGTAGGGCCATAGCTCTCTCAGGTCGTACTTGCTCCTGGAAAGTAGAGGAAACCAGGAGACATCCCAGCTGTGCTCAATGCCCTCCCCTACCTCCCATGGCTAGAGGAGCACCTTTGTAGTGAGCCCTTCTGCTGTCCTTCCCCCTATGTAGGCTGGATCCTCATTGACCGGTGTGGAAAGCACTTTGGTACGATTCTTAACTACCTTCGAGACGGAGCAGTCCCCTTGCCTGAGAGCCGCCGTGAGATCGAGGAGCTACTAGCAGAAGCCAAGTACTACCTAGTCCAGGGCCTGGTGGAAGAGTGCCAGGCAGCCCTACAAGTAAGCATCACCCTTTCTTCTCATTTGGGTGGGAGGCACTGAGCCTGCTTGCCTTCCTTGTTGTCCATCTGTGGAATGGAGCAGTGTAGGTAAAATTGGCTCCTGACCTTGAGCATAGGCTTGCTTTCTGCTTGAGAGACCTAAAGAGGCACAGAATGGTATGTGAGTTGTGTATGTGCAGGAGGGCAGAAAACTGACCTCCAAGAGAGAATATATATGTGAAGTGCTGCAACAGTGATCCTCTGGACTCCAAAGGTCTCTTGACACTAGAGGCAGAGGTTGTGCTTGAGGTATGTGTTTGCAAAAGCAAGGTGGAGACATTGTATCTGATCTTTTCCATGTCCTCCCTATCAGTGCTGATGTCTGATAAGCAGCTTTTATCTACGTCTTCCTGTTTTATGATAATAAATACAGACCTAAGGTTTGCTCAGAGGAGGACTCCCCCCTGAGCTCCTCAGTCCCCTGGCATAGACTCTGTGTCAAACCTCTCATTCCTTGAGCCAAAACTCTTTCGTCTTTGCTTGCTTTATTTTTAGAATTACAAGCCCTAGAATTGTAAACATCCTTATTTTGTCACCCATATCAGAGCCCGTACTAAACTATCAGGCCCTCTCACCTTGGGTAATGAACAAGTTTCTCAAAAAGAAATATTTGCAGTATCCCTTCAGTAAGCCTCAGCCTCTCATGCTTTTCATCATCAAAATGCCAAAGCAGTAGCATATCAGTTCAAATTACCTATTAAACTCGCTTAAAAAATAGCATGGGCTTGTACTGATTGTCAAGCTGTCCAAGGACCTTCCGTAGGAAAAGGCTCCAACGCGTGAGGTTTACACAGTAATAAACTATGGCAAACTGATGTTAAGCATTAAACATCATTTAAAACACTTAAATTTATCCATGTCGCTGTTGATACTCATAGCAGGTATATCCATGCTACATCATTAAATAGAGAAAAAACTCACCACACCACCTGCTATTTGCTAGAATGTTTTGCTTATAATGAGAATTCCCAAGAAACTAAAAATAGACAATGCCTATGTTATCCCAGTAATACTTTTCAAAACTTCCTTCTTATTTGGCAAAATTCGGCATATTACAGGAATACCTTATAATCCCAAAGGACAAGCCTTTTTTTTTTTTTGAGACAGAGTCTAACTATGTTGCCCTCGGTAGAGTGCTTTGGTGTCACAGCTCATGGCAACCTCAAACTCTTGGGCTTAAGCAATTCTCTTGCATCAGCCTCCCAAGTAGCTGGGACTACAGGCGCCCACCACAACACCCAGCTATTTTTTTTGTTGTAGTTGTCATTGTTGTTTAGCAGGCCAGGGCTAGGTTCAAACCCGCCATCCCCAGTGTATATGGCCAGCACCGTAACCACTGAGTAATGGGCACCAAGACAATAAGCCATTGTTGAATGTGCTAACTGCACTTTGAAAAATTATATTCAAAAACAAAAAGGGGGTTGTATGACCCCCATATTGCTCACCCCAGACATATTATCAACAAAGCCCTTATAAGTATTAATCTTTTCAACTGGAATCCTGATAATTTTTCTGCATTTCAATAGCATTTACAAAATGCTTCCAAGCCAGCATGGCCAAAGGATCAACAAGTGTTCGTAAAATTCTAAGACTTGACTCAATGGGAAGGACCTTATCCAGTGTTAATAACATGGGGGAGAGGATATGTATGTGTTTCCACACCAACAGGACCTGCATGGTTCTCTACAAAAAGGACCAAACACAAGCAAGAAGGACCATGTCAAACCACAGCCGACCCAGGAACTCGTTGAACAGATGAGTCTTCAGAAGAATCCGCCAGTACCCCTTCCCAAAACACGAGGGGCACCCCTGGTGACGTGGGGATCACTTAAGAAATTATTTCAAGATGCCGAGTCTCTTATGAAACAGCTTGGTACTCCTCCAACACCTGAAAACAGGTTCCTGGCTTGCCTGACAGTGATATCTCAGAACTCTGCCAAGGTGTGCTTTCTCCTTTTATTGTGTTTTTTCTCTGCCACTAAAGCAAAACACATCTATTGGGCTCACTTAATAGAATCTCCTTTAGTCCAGCCTGTGTTTGGAGAGATTCTGAACTCCACCCTTTCCAGTAACAACACCACTTGGACTGGAGGTCTTTTTATGCCCTTAGGGCAACCCCTGCTGAACCAGATTGTCTGGCTTAATTACCCCAATGTCTTTTTCTTTATTGATAAAACTCCTATGTGTTTTTCCCTCCATTCATTGCAACCTTGTGCTATGAGGTTGTGCGTCATAGTTTTACTTAACATTATTCCACTAAACCTCTCAATATGATTTTCATGAATACTACTTCCCTCTTTTCTTTTTTTTTTGAGACAGAGTCTTACTTTGTCACCCTCAGTAGAGCGCTGTGGCATCACAGCTCACAACAACCTCCTGCTACAATGCCCAGCTATACATATACATACATACATATATATATATATATATATATATATATATTTTTTTAGAGACAGGGGTCTTGCTCTTGCTCAGGCTGGTCTTGAACCTGTGAGCTCAGACAGTCCACCCCTCTCGGCCTCAAAGTGCTGGGATTACAGGTGTGAGCCATCATGCCCGGCAATCTATGCCAAATTCACCTCTTTGTATGCACTTTTCTGATTCTTCTAATCCTAGTAACGCTAGTTGGGAACCTTGCCAGGTACAGCCACCTCCCTGAGCTAATCTCACCCAACAAGTTAACCTTCTTAACTGGGGGCCCTATGGCCATTTAACTGCAGAAGGTAAACCATAAAGTTCACAGAATGGACTCAAAATCTTATAAGGGTACATGTGAATCTTTCTAAATGTAGAATATAAATGTCTTAACAGAATAACTAAGAAAATGACATGAAGGCTATGTTAACCAGTTTGATGAAAATATTTCAGATTGTATATAAAAACAGCACACTGTACCCCATGACAGTATTAATGTATACAGCTATGATTTAATTAAAAAAAAAAAAAAAAGAAAAGAAAAAAGAATGGACTCAAAATTAACCTGTCTAGGACAGCATGTCCCTTTCAGGTCCTATACTTCAAGCTTGTCAAAACAGTCAGTGTTCCCATTATTATTATTATTATTATTATTTTGAGACAGAATCTTAGTATGTCACCCTCAGTAGGGTGCTGTGGTGTCGTAGCCTACAGCAACCTCAAACTCTTGGGCTTAAGCAATTCTCTTGCCTCAGCCTCCCAAGTAGCTGGGACTACAGGTACCTGCCACAACACCCAGCTATTTTTTGGTTGTAATTGTCAGTGTTTAGCAGGCCCATGCCAGGCTCAAACCTGCCAGCCTTGGTGTATGTGGCCTGCACACTACCCACTGAGCTATGGGCACTGCCCCCTTATTACTCTAAACTGGGGAATTACCCTCCCATTTATTCCCCCCACTTTTAACACATGGTGTTATCTGTACTGGTGCTATAGGCATGTTCACAGTAAACTTAACAATTTCTCCAGTGAAATCCTTGGGTGTACTACTAGCCCATATGTATTCTTATTAGCTCCTTCTTTTTCATTTCATAACACAATGTATTCTTCTACCCTTTCATTCTCTACTGCTTGGTTAAGTACTTGGTTTTCCTATCACAGTGCTACTACTTTGAACATCTCCAGTGTATTCATTATGAAAAAAAAGTAGACAGTTCATCTTAAATGACCCTGGCAAGCAGATTCCACTTTGCATATTTTAATTGATGTGTTAAAGAAATTAAGACCAAAAAGGTTCCTTGTGAACCTCATTGCTTTTATAGTTTGTGCTGTTGTTTTACTTCTACATCAGGGGCTATAGCTGCTTTAACTGAATCTTTTCAAACTGTTCCTTTTGTTGATACTATGATGGCTAATAACACACAAGAGCTCATAAGACAAGCTAAGATTGACAATCAAGTTATACGAAGATTTGATGCCCTCAAGGCTGCTGTTAAATGGCCTGGTAATAAACAACAAACTCTGCAGAGGAGGACTGCTCTTTGATGTGACGTTAACAGTACTAATTGCATCACAGCAGTTCCTTACAACAGTTTCCTGAATCCATGGGAACAAGTTAAAAATCTTTTACATAGTGTCTTCAATGATGCTGTGGCTCAAGATAAAGCAGATTTATCTGGCCAGTTTCAGGAACAGACTCACCATCCAAAGGCTAACCAACACTCTTGTTTTAACACTTTGGAAACAAATTTTCAATGGTTATCTCCTTCTCATTGGTTTTCAGGGTTAAATATAAGAATGTGGTTTTTTGGTGCTCTCCTGATCCTCTTCATCATCATTATCGCATTTGGACGGTGGATGTGTCGTCAGACCCAAGGACAGAAGAAACAAGACGAAACGTTTGCTTATGTTCACTTAACTATGTTAAAAAATAAAAAAGGGGGAGATGTAGGGAAAATTGTGTCCTGACCTTGAGCATAGGCTCACTTTCTACTTGAGAGACCTTAAAGGGTCATGAGAATGGTATGTGAGTTGTGTACATGCAGGAGGGCAGAAAACTGACCTCCGAGAGAGTGTATATGTGAGGTGTGCTGATAAAAATCCTCTGGATTCCAAAGGTCTCTTGACACTGGAGGCAAAGGTTGTGCTCAAGGTCTGTGTGTTTGCAAAAACAAGGTGGACACATTCTATCTGATCTTCTCCATGTCCTTCCTATCAGTGCTGATGTCTATAAGCAGCTTTTATCTACTTCCTGTTTTATGATAATAAATACGGACCTGAGGTTTGCTTGGGAGGACTCCTCCCTGAGCTCCTCAGTCCCTGGGCACAGACTCTGTGTCAGGCCTCTTCATTCTTTGCGCCAAAACCCCTTCATCCAGTTCCTACCATCTGGAAATGTGAGAGTTAATTAACTAACCCTGGAGCTACTCCCCTTTGGTCATGGTGACCCTGAGAGGCATCCCTTGAGTGACCAGGTCACCTAACTGCTCTTTGGCTAAATCAGTCCCCATGGTGTTGGGTCCACTTGTGTATGTTGCAACCATTCAGTGAACCACGGGATATAAAACTTGATCAGTGTTCTGGCTCTATCATGGGACTTGTTTTGGCCCCACAAATCAGTGTTGGAAGCCAAGTATAGTTATTATGGAAAAATACCCCTCTCTTCTTAGCTGGATTGGGGCAGGACTATTGGGATCAAGTTTAGTAATAGTAAAATCCCACAAAACCATAATGCTCCTAGGCATAGCCAACAGCCTTTTATTTCAAGCAGAGTTACAACATGATGGAAAATCATGTTGCCCTAGGAAGGTGGTGTGTGTGCATGAGCCACATGTGTGTGTCTGGCCATCATTAGTGCCTGACCCCCGAAACGCCGTTGTTGCCACATACCACCTCCACTCTGAGAGCTTGTGAACTCATGGTCAGGTTCAGTGAATCTGCAGCATTTACTTTAGTTCTGTTTTGTTATGTTATGTTTATTAAAGCAATGCAGGTACATCATTTAAGAAGTCAAATAGTACTGCAATGTTGATGTCAAAAATACTACCATACCCCCAGCCACCTACCCTCGCCCGTGAGGTAGGCTCTTTGAATTCTTTCTGTAGTTTTTCTATTACATTTATATTTTAACATAAGTTGCCTATATAGCTATTTATTGACTTTTCGGTTTTCAGCATTATCCACTAGCATTACAATAGAAAATTAGAGTGTAGCCCATATACGACACCACCCTAATCACCTAGCTTATGTATACTTCTTGTCCCGTTCTCTGAATAGTTTATCCCAGTTTGGTTAATTTCAGAGTTTACATTATGAGGCCTAAATATAACTAACAGTTAAGCTACAGAATATACAATGATTATTTTCTTATGTTAGTATAACTTTCAGGTTGCTGGAATTAGTGATTGCCTTACTGTTTTGTTTGCTTGGTTTGTGCGTGTATATTCCTAATTTAGCCCCACAGTCTCAGATGGTCTTCTGTTCGTACGTACAGACACAGCAGAGATTGTTTCATCTCTGATGAAACATGAAGACATGTTCTCCCAGGCCTTCATTTCTATTAGTCTGAGTTTAGGCCTCCGGGACTAACCTCCTGATTCTCCTCTTAGTTTCTCCTGCTTCATCTTTTGTTCTACTTTCCCAGTGTTTCAGGGTTTTTTCCTGAGATGTTGTGTTTTTGACTTTCTATGGGATTTTTCATTTCTGGTATCACTTTCCTAATTTCTCACAGCCTTTTCTTGTTCTCTTAATGCTGTACTTTATCTAGCATGCTGATATTATTTCACAGGATGCCCTGTCTGTGCTCACCTGTCTGATGATACTGTTTGAACTTTTTTCTCCCTTCATTGACTCCTTCTTTCTTTTGGTTTCACTCTCTGGTTTTGGTTTGAGACGGCTTTCCATATACAATCTGATGATCCTTGGATGTCTGTCGAAAGAGTGACTCTGAAAAGCTGTGCTTGGGTGGTCCTTACTGTCCAGTGGGGTTTGTTGTTAAGTGATAAGACTGACTTTATCAGTTGGAGCCCCAGTTATCAGCGTCTATAAGTCATTTTGAGTGGCATGTGGTTTCCCTCTAATTCCTTCTGCCTTCTGGGAATAAGCCTTAATTAGCTGCCTTTGGGATCTACTAGGGGAAGAGCCTGGGGTGCTCACCATTTAGTATGGAGATCTTCACTCAGTCTCCATTTTCTGAACAGCAGCTCAGCCCTGCCCTCTGTTGCACAAACTGCGTCAGGAGGAAGGTGGACTTTTTTTTTTTTTGTCAGAGAGGGCAAGGGGGTCTCACTAGGACTTCTGCCAACTGGCAACTGTTCTAGGCCTGTTGCCACCACCTTTCAGCCCTGTTCTCTGAGGACTGGTCAGGCGTCTTTCCCATCTGCCACCTCAAGTGTCAGCTTTCTCCATCTTCTTGGTTATCACTCACCTGTGACTTGCTTTCCACCTTGAATTTTTTACCTTATTTTTGTCTGCTGTTCTCACTTTTTTTTTTATTGTTGGGGATTCATTGAGCATACAAGAAACTAGGTTACACTGATTGCATTTGTTAGGTAGAGTCCCTGCTATTCTCACTTTTCTTTTTTCTTTTTCTCTTATACCTTTTAAAAATTCCTTTGCAGTTATTGTAGTGGGATTTTAGGAACTTTCAGTTAACTCTTCTCTAAACTACCACATTGAGGGCTTATTGTTGACCCCTGACTTCTTGGGCTGTGGAAATGTAGCATCATTGTTAGTACTTACTGAGCACCCTGGCACATAATGGCCATAGCCAAGAGCACTTACTGGGAAATTCAACTCCTATCCTAGTCTTTGTCCATCTAATTCATTGGTGGTAAGAATCCTCCTCTTTCTCAGCCACAACTGCCCCATCTCCCCTCACTAAAGCCTGTCTTTGTTCAGCATGCTAGCTTAAAAATGCAATGCTGGGCAGGCATCTTAGGCTGAAAGTATGTTTTGTTCCAGCAGAACAAAGATACTTATGAGCCTTTCTGCAAGGTTCCTGTGATCACCTCATCCAAGGAGGAACAAAAACTTATAGCAACCTCAAATAAGGTATGTTGGAGGCACCCTTTGTGGAATTGCTTTTGCTACTAGAAGTGGAGATTCTTCTGAATAAGTTTTGAAATAAAAGTATATGTAATTGCCTGAGCAAGGCCTGAGAAAGGGTTCTGAATGGGAAGCTACAGCTCATCTTGTATGTCCTCTCCTCACCCCCGCCCCCTTTTGGGTCATATGGTCCCCCTCTCCAGCCAGCAGGCTCTGCTTGTCTGCCTTTGCTGCCTTGTGGCAAGGCCCTCACTCTATAGGAAGCCAGTGGTTCATTTCATCTGTATGCCAAGTAACTGTTGTCTTTCTTTTTTAAAACAATCCACAGCCAGCCGTGAAGTTGCTCTACAACAGAAGTAACAACAAATACTCATATACCAGGTAAGGCGTCAGCCAGGTTTTCAATCTGTACTCACTAGGAAAACCTCCACTCACACCATTCCAGCCCAGTCAGGGCTGGTTCTTGTTCCAGTCAGATGAGGATAACTCCTCTGCACCTCTGGCGTGCCTAGATACAAATGGATAGATTGATAGAACTTAAGGGAGATATAATTCACACATACCATAAAATTTACCTTTTGAATGTATATATTTTAGTGTGTTTTAATATATTCACAAAGTTGTGCAGCCATCAACACTAATTCTAGAACATTTTTATTATTCCCCATTTCTCCTCTACTGCTTTCTCTCCACTCCCAAGCCCTAGACAACCACTAATCTACCTTCTGTCTCTGTGGATTTGCCTATTCTGGACATTTCACATGAAAGGAATAATACGTGGCCTTTTGTGACTGGCTTCCTTCACGTTAACATAGTATCTTCAAAGTTCATCTATTTTATAGCATGAGTCAACACTTTATTCGTTTCTTTTTACGGCAGAATAACATTCTGTGGTGTGGATAGACCATGTTTGTGTTTATCCATTCATCGTTTGATGGACGTTCAGGTTGTTTCCCCTTTTTGGTTGTTGTGTATAATGCTGCTGTAAATATTCGTGTATGAATCTTTGTTTTCATTTCTCCTGAACAGATACCTAGGAGTAGAATTGCTGGTATGGTAACTCTAGGTAACTCATATGGTAACTCTAGGCTTAGACATTTGAGGACCTATCAGACTTTCCCAGAGAAGATGTACCATTTTACATTCCCACCAGCAATATATGTGGGCTTCTAGAAAGCTTTTTGGCTCCTGGGAACCAAGTGTAGTTTGTTCTGAGGTTAGCACCTAACCTTGTTGGCTTCCTTAATTAGCTGAACTCTAGGTCCATTTTTATGCCAGGGGAATTTAAGGGATGTGGGCCCATTTAATGAGGGCAATCAAGGTCCTTAAAAAGATGTGTAATAAAAAGTCTCCTGTTCTGCTCTTTGTATGGGTCAGTGAGGCTCTCTCCTCTGCCTAGTGCCTGTGCCTAGAGGCCCAATGGGTTAGCATCCTCTCTCTGGCTGTTGGAGAGCCAACACTCAAGCATACTGGGTAGGATTACAGGCTTAGAAGCCAGAACCGTCTTTTGGGGGGCCTGGCACTGCCACTTAGTAGTTTTTTGGCCTCAAGCAATTACCTAATTTCTCCAACCCTCACTTTTCCTTCTTTGAGCAGTATAGATTGTAGTGCTTTTCTCATGGGATTATTGTAGATTTGTTGGCCCCAATAAAGGCCAACAAATGGTAGCTGTTTTTACCAGCTTGAGATCTCACCTTATCAAATGCTCTTTTGCAGCAATTCTGATGACAATATGTTGAAAAACATTGAACTGTTTGATAAGCTGTCTCTACGTTTTAATGGAAGGGTCCTGTTCATAAAGGATGTAATTGGGGATGAAATCTGCTGCTGGTCCTTTTATGGACAGGGCCGCAAGATTGCTGAAGTCTGTTGTACCTCCATTGTCTATGCCACTGAGAAGAAACAGACCAAGGTAAGAGCCTTGAGAGGACAGTGTGAGTGGCTGTTCTGAAATATGTACTTGTTGAATCTCTTTAACTTGAACAAAATAAAGAGGAAAGGCTTCTAAAATGCTTTCCTTGCCTTGTGGTTGCTCATTGTTAAAATAATTCCTTAATCTTTTGGGCCCCGGAAAGATCAAAACGTAATTCTTATTAAAACAAACTGGCTTCCCTTCTGAAACTCAGCAGCTTAGACAAAGTATACTCAAATTCCTTTACCATGAACCTGGGTCCAGACTTACCCTTATACCCATGTCTATCCTGCTGCCAGCGTTTTCTCCACCTGGCATCAGTGCTGTTCTTCACCTTCCTCCATGTGAGATTGCTGCCCACCCAGCATGGCCTCATCTAGTCTTGCTCATCAGAGGAACTCTGCTTCCTTCAAGATCTTGACCTTGGCTTTCTAGTCATGACCTGCTACTTACTTGGGATCTGTCTGTCCTTTTACCTACTGACATAGAGCTGCCTTCCACTGTCTCCCAGGGCCTGTTCGTGTTCCTTAGCTCCTATCCTCGTTGGCTTCCTTAGCACACTTGGCGCCCTGACTAGGCTCTGGATCCATTTCTATGTCACCCTCTCCAAACCAACAAGCTGTCCCTTGACTTCTACCACCTTGCCATTCTGCAAGACTCTAGATCACACCACAAACTACCGCTAGAGATCTGGCCCACTGTTCATGGAACTCCACTCTCTTTAGGTTTTCTGGTTGCCTGACCTCCTTGGCCTATGCAAGGTTTTCTCCACTCCCTTTCTTTCCTTTCCTTTTCTTTTTCTTAAACTTTTAATCACAGTATACATTTCTGTCATTTCTTATTTCAGCTTATATAAGGGAAATCTGATTACCAGTGACATATAGCAGGTCAGCTGCTGGACTGTCCTGCCTCTGGTCCTCTTCAGTCTATAGGTCAGGTCATTATTGTCCCCTGCAGCTTTAGGAGGCATAGAATTCTGCACGGTCTAGAAAAAGCAAAAGAGAAAATCAGATCATGGAGTAGAAACCAAGGTTTTTTCTTTGACTTATTAAAAATACACAGAATTTTTATTTTTATTTTTATTTTTGTAGAGACCAGGTCTCCTATGTTGCCCACATGGGTTTTGAACTCCTGGCCTTAAGTGATCCTCCCACTTGTGCTCCGAAAGTGCAGGGATTATAGGAGTGAGCCTCATATATCCATGTACCCATCACCCAGCTGCAAGGGCCATCAACTCAGGATCATTCCTGCTCAATCTGCTTTCTCTCTCCAGCATTCACAGGATTAATTTAACAACATATTTTATTTATAAATAGATATTCAGAATCTTCTGAAAGGATTCATACTATTAAAATAGCCAAGATGGGAACAATACTGAGGTTCTTTTTTTCCCCAAAGATACCAAGGAGACCAGAATCATTTGCTTCCCTTACTGAGGCACATCAAGTCTCTTTTCTCCTATGAACATTTATTTTTTTCTTATTAAGGGCTGTGAATTCTGCCAGTAACTAGATCCTCTTTTTGTATGGTTTGATTTTTTTTCTTTAAATATACCTGGGTTACCTCTGCCCTTGGGTATTAAAAGAATAGTGGTCATTTGGTTAAGCTTTAACATATTATGCCTACTCATTTTTAGAGCAAAGGGATTTAGAGATGGGTTCCAGAGGGATCCTGTATTTGTGTTTCTGAAGCTGGTTAGTGGCAGAGCCAAATGGGAGGCCAGGGCCCCCTTTCCGTGGCTGCTTTTGCTTGGCCGCCTATCCCTAAGGGCTTCTTCCTTTTTCCAGGGGAAGCATGTGACTGAGTTTCCAGGAAGTTGACGAGGGGACAGCTGCCTGTGAACACATTCCCCCTTCATCTAGCCACATCTCTGGGAACTGTGCTTTGGGGGTCACACTCACATTTTGTTTTCTCAAGTAACTGCAGATGTTCCATTTGGGTTGGGTTTGTTTTTTTTTTTTTTTTTAAATAATTTATATCTTCCTTGAGAGAGCATTCCAAATGCTTTACTAATTCTTTTGATAATTATTATTTAGCTGTCTTGTGGTTCACTTGGAAAGGGTGTGCCTTGATGAAATTAAAGTTTCAACAGCGTTTAATGTATACATTGTCAGTTTGGTTCCTAATTCTGATTTGCTAGGGAGTAGGTGGTAAGGAAGTATGGAATTCTGCCCTTTATTGATCTTTCTTTTATTCTGTTGCAGATTCTATCACTTCTTTTGTCTCTTCTGTCATCTCCATTCTGTTACTGAGCCCTTCCAGTGAGTTCGGTTTTTTTGTTTTTATGTTCATTTTGGTTATTGTATTTTTCGCTTCTGAAATGTTTGTTTGGTTTTTCTTTTTCCTCTTCTGTCTTCTTGCTGAGCCTTCTGTGTTTTCATTCGCTCTGAAAGCAGTGTTTGCCTTTACTTGTTAAAGCGTCCGTATGATAGCAGCTGTCAGGTTTTTGTTTAGGTAAGTCCAACATCTTCTGTCATTGTGACGCTGGCATCTGCTGATTATCTTTTACCATAGGATTTTCCTGGTTCTTCAAATACTAAGAAATTTTGAGTTGGATCCTAGGTATTATGGATATTATGTTACAGGAATCTGGGCCTTGTTTAAATCCTAGGGGAAATATTGACATTTTTCTTTTAGCAGGCAGTGAACCCAGTTAGGTTCAGGATGCAGTTCTCACCAGTTCCTTCTGTGGGTTATAGTTCCAGTGACAGTTCAGTCTTAGAGCTTTCAGACCTGTCCCACCTGTGTGCCACACTGTGGACAGTCTGTCCTGGGCAGTGTCTATCCTAGTGTTGAGTTCTTATAGTCTGTGTATGCTGTTAAGGGGCAGAGCCTGCAGCTGGGGAACGAATCTAGGAGTTCATGTACAACTTCACAGGCTGCTTTGTCAAGCTCCCCTTCCTTCACAATCTCCTTAGTACTTTTAAGTTGCCCAGGGCTCTTCGTTTTTTGGTTGGCCAGAAAGCTGGTGCTTTAATTACTCTGCTCTGCCACCCACTTCCTGTGACTATGCTCCTATCTAGAGCCAAGCAGCATGGAGATTTAAAAAAAAAAAAAAAAAGCGGCAGAGATTGACCTTATCCCGTTGAGTCCAGCTCTTGCCAGAAAGGAGGGTTCCCTCCATCTGGTTCAACACCTGTAGTCTCTGGTTGCTGCCATAGCCACTGCTACCATGGATTGCTCAAGGGCTGGAGTGCAAGAAAACAGAGAAAAGAGAATCGAGGAATTTCCCCTGCACGCGCATAGACTCTGGGCTTCTCTGGGCACCAGAGACCGGAGCTCGTTCTGTCTGGTCCCATTTCCAGGTTCCAGCCTACATTGATGCTAGCAGGGGGAAATTGTAGATCCACTGCTAGTTTGGTATTAGTTCAGATTCTGATCTTTTCCCCTAATTTGCCTGCAAGCTGCCTAACGTCTCTATTTGTTGCTCACAGTTCTGGGATTGTTGCTCATAGTCCCTGGATTGCTGCTGTTGTACATTTGTCCTGGCTTTTGTAGCGTGAGGAAGATAGGGTAGCGTGTGTTTACTCCATTTCCCCTGGATCTAGAACCTCAGAATCCTACCTTTTAAAGCAGAGTCTAGTCTGTGAGTCAGGTATCTGGGGCCCACTTGTATGACCCATCTCCTGTTCACAATGCCTTAATCTTGAGGAGCAATAGGCAGACACTGGCCAAGCAGGAGGGATTGTGTCCATTTCATGAGAATCCCCAGGCAGTCCCTATTCAGAAGGAATTCTGCTTTAAAGACCACTTTAATGTGTGGAGGACTCCTGGGCAGGGTGGCAGCTTTGTTGGTTAGCAGCAGCATATAGAAAATACCCTAAATGTCCATCCAAGTGAAATATAATTAACCATTGCATTGTTGTATTCTTTATAATTCCTTGATGTTATGTGATCTGTAGGCTAAGTCAGGCACAAGAAGATACAAGCTGGACAACAGTAATCCCAACTACTTGCAAGGCTGAGGCAAAGAGGATTGCTTGCAGCCAAGAGTTCGATCCCAGCCTGGGCAACATACTGAACAACCCTGTCTTTAAAAAAAAAAATTGAAAAAGAGGAATAAGAATCTGTGTAGTAGGCTATCTTTTGTATTTTTAAAAGTGTGTGAATATATATATATTCTCACTTTGTCACCCTTGGTAGAGTGCCATGGTGTCACAGCTCACAGAAACCTCAAACTCTTAGGCTCAAGCAATCCTCTTGCCTCAGCCTCCCAAGTAGCTGAGATTACAGGGTCTCACTCTGTACCAGGCTGGTCTCGAACCTGTAAGCTCAGGCAGTCTACCCGCCTCGGCCTCCCAGAGTGATGTGATTACAGGCGTGAGCCACTGCGCCTGGCCAATATATGTATATATACCACATTTACATGCACAGAATCTCTTGAAGGTAGGGTGATGAGAAGCATTGCCTGTTTCCCTGTGTACCCTTGGTCTCTTTTGAATTTGGTGCCAGATGTAAGTGTTGCCTATTTGAAAATAACAATTTAAAAACGACAGGCTGGGCACAGTGGCTCACACCTATAATTATCACATTGTGGGAGGCTGAGGTAGAAGGATCTCTTGAGCTTAGGAGTTACAGACCAGCCTGAACAAAAGTGTGACCTCATCTCTACTGAACATAGAAAAATTAGCTGGGTGTTGTGACACCTGTTTTCACAGCTACTCAGAAGGCTGAGGCAGGAGGATCGCTTGAGTCCAAGAGTTTGAGGTGGCTATGAGCTAGGCTGATGGCACAGCACTCCAGCCTGGCAATAGAGCGAGACTGTTTAAAAAAATAAGAGACAGTCTGCGATGGAATCCCAGGAACCTGACTGAGCCTGATGCCCTGCTCAAAAGTGACAGGGTGACAGGCTGTGTACTGTGCTAACTTACTTGTCCTGTATATTTTGTGAACGTAGGTTGAGTTCCCTGAAGCCCGGATTTATGAGGAGACCCTGAACATTTTGCTGTATGAGGCCCAGGATGGCCGAGGACCTGACAATGCACTCCTGGAGGCCACAGGCGGGGCGGCTGGGCGCTCTCACCACCTGGATGAGGATGAAGAACGGGAACGGGAAAGAATTGAGCGTGTGCGACGGATCCACATCAAGCGCCCAGACGACCGGGCCCACCTCCACCAGTGAGCAGGCAGGCAGCTGAGCCACCGTCCTCCTGCCACCCCTTCCCTCCCTACCATGCTACACTCAGATCCTATGCAGGCTCCCAGGCACCTTCCACCTCCTCTGGAGCCTGGAGGTCCTTTTGTAACAAGCCAGATAATTATTTTGATACTTCCTGACAAGATGAATTGGTTGTCTCAACCCAGGTCTATGCAGCCCTATTTTTGAGCAAGCTGTCTGAGGTCTCTACTTTTCATGAGACTCCAGGAACCTCTGGAGCCAGGCTTTCTTGGTTCTTGGAGGAAAAGCATGAATGAGTGTAAAGTAGCTGTGAGACTTTGTTTGCGGTATTTATTTTTGTGAGTGTTGACTACCTATTTGGGCTTCTTGGGTGATACTCCCTTAAGGTTCTGTGTGACTGTTCTGAGAGGAGTTCTGTGGTTGGTGGCCACAGGGGTATCTGAGCTACCTACTGCATATATCCTAACCCTCCAGCGCCCTGGCTCCCAGTTCCTGTTGCCAGACACAATCCCCACAGCTTTGCTAGATGTTCATTCTGCCATGTGGTTTTTTTGTGCCTAGTCCGTCTTGATAATTGCAGGTCACAGCAGTAGAAATCTGATCTAGTAAGCCTCTAAGATGTTACTAGTGTAGCTTTGGGTGCAGAGCTTTCCTTAAGGAGCAAGACTTTTGCTGTCTTGACTAGTGTTTGACTGGGACACTAGTGTCTGCCTAGGAGCAGAGTGTTCCTGGCAGTGAGTATTCAGCTCTGCTCCTGGCTCCTGCCTCCTGCAGTTGCTCTCCTTGTTGACCTGCTCAGTTCTAGTAAGGCCATCTGACCCCCAGACAGGGGTAGCTCACTAACTACCTTGATCGGCATCTTCCTCATGAAGCTGGGTTTACTGCGGCAAACAGATGCCCTGCCCTTTGCTTAGAAATTCAGTGTGGCCCAGATTCTTTGTCTTCCCCTCTGGCATCCAAGCAGGGACCCCAGCACCAGCCCCCACTGCTTGGAGATACCCTTCTTGTCTTTGCCTCTGATTCTTACACAGTATAGGATAGCCAGCAGTGTACAGGTTGAGAGAATGTGCAGACATCTTTGGGTCTGGATTGTGTCTGTGTTTCCATTTGTGTTAAGGGAAGTGTGCTACTGTTGACGGGGGAATGTGTGCTTGTGAGGCACGGGCAGCCTGTGCCGGAGCCTGGCTGGCCGCAGGCTGCTCGTGGAGGACAGATGTTCTCAGTTACCTACCTCCCAGCTCCTCTTTGCCTGCAAAGGACCAGAAGTGAGTTGTGACTGATAGTGGGTTGTTGAGACTAGAGTAGGTAGAGTAGTTACAAGGAGATGTGAATGCATGTCGAGTGATGGATGTGTTTGTCTGCTTATCAAGGGAATCGTTACCGTTTTATACCAAAGGTATTAACATGGGTAGCCTTTGACACATGTATTCCAAAAAACGAGTTTATATTTTGAAACGGTTTTTACAGCATAGACTTTGTATGTCCTGCCCTGCCCCGCCTGTGACAGTTCTATGCCTTTATTTTGTATCTGGCAGCAAAGCCTACAATAAAACTGTAAAACAGTCATGACTGAACGTAAAAATCAAGTATTGGGTAGATACTTTTTAAACTGTTGGGTGGGAAACTTTTATATTAGGCCATTTGGATTTTATTAAGTTCTACGGAAAGAGGGCTTACAAAATAATGTTTCGTAAATATTTTATACTGTTTAAGTTTTAAACACCAACCCTTTTGGGTTGAACTTTTTTAGAAAGTTAAAGTGAATGTCAGTTCTGATGTTTTCTGTAGGAATGGAAAAGCCATTGTATAAATTGTTTTTTAAATGTTTGTGTGAAGAGTAAGTTTGTGGAACAATCTGTTTTACTTTGGCTCCTATGCCTTATGACTTCTGTTTCTGGCAGCTCTAACTTTACTTTTCCTCCAACTTTGCACCTATGGTTTTGAATGCGAACAGGTTCATAAAACATTCCATGGTAAGTGATACTGTTAGCTGCAGGTAGCCATGAGCTGACAGTGTTGGCTGGTCCACACACTTATCAAATATACTCTATATTATATGGAACTGATTTTGCTTATGTTAGCACTAAGGGCAAAAGTCAATAGTTACAATTTAAGAACCATCCAAGTAAAACATTGATCTAAGAATTGGCAAAAAAAGTTTTATTACGTAGTGATAGCGTACAATTTTTAAAAATGGAGCAGCTCCGGGCAGTGCCTGTGGCTCAAAGGAGTGGGGCACTGTCCCCATATGCTGGAGGTGGCAGGTTCAGACCTGGCCCCGGCCAGAAACTGCAAAAAAAAAAAAAAATGGAGCAGCTTCTAGTCTGTTAATCAAGTTTTTTTTTTTTCTTTTTTAATAAGTCCTCTGATTGTGGTGACTGGGAGGTTGTACCTGAGATAATTCCTGCCATCTCTGTGTCACCTTCCTGTGGTGGATTAGCTGGTCAGTCACCGTGCAGGTTCCCCAGCCCTGTTGAAGTGTATTTGCTATACAGCAGCTGCTCAGCACTGAAGTGTGAACAGCACTCAGCCCTCCCTCCTGAGTGTGTGCTGTCTTCAGGGCTCCACCCAAAGTCGCTGTAACGCATTTAAGCGTGGTGTTAATTAACCTTTCTGTTCTTTGTGCTATGAAAAGATGCTGTAAGTTTTAAAGTAGTCACTGTTGTACAAGCATTTGTGGACATATGTGAAATAAAAGTTATATAATGCTTCTATTTAAATCTGCTTTCTGGGTCTTTTCAGGAATGCCCAGCATCACTGAGCCACTGAGGTGCGGTTTACAGTGAAGAGAGCAAGGCAGAGCCCCTACTTTTCTACCTTACCACCTTAAAAGTTGCTCAGCATGGAAAGGAAAGAGGAGTCATTTTCTGTAGAGTATGAATTTAAACACAGAAGGAAAGTCTTGGGTCAACGGTGGTCTGGCTTGTGCAAAAGCAGAATGACAGGTGGAGTTCTACTGATTTAATATTGGCGGTTGAGGACTCATCTCACCGTGTGGGACCTAAAAGCCCCATTAGAAACAACACAATTGCTTGACACTGCTAAGTTCTATTTATTCACAGTGAAATTTGAATTTTGTAGCTTTATGAAATTTCCTTTGCTTATTCTCAGACCATATACTGTAAGTCCTCAGTGTCATGGATTAGTTCTTAGAAGCTTCAGTTTGAAGCAAAACCACTTTTACCATAGGCTAATGGATAGAAACAAGGGTTAAATTCCTACAGCATACTTCTGGTCACAGAAATACCCCCAAACTTCTAAATAACACTTCTAGTACTAAACATTGAAGTAAATGGGATACATTTTAGAAAGATTAATAAAAACAAGATAATTCCACAATGTTTAGTGAGTTAGTGAGAATGGTCATAGTGGTGGGTTAAATCAAGGAATAAATATTTACAGAGCAAAAATTATAAACAGTCACAAATATTGATTGCTGAGTGCTTTTGTCTCATAGTGTTTATTGCTGTGCATTTGTAAGATAATCATATGCAAATTTTTATTGTACAGTAATTTATATTCATTTATTTTCCAACCTGCTTGTTCCAGGTCAGGGTCTTGGGTGGTCTGAGTCTGTCCTAGCAGATTGGGGCATAAGGCAGGAGCCCACTCTGGCCAGGACTCTCTTCCACTGCAGGGCACATTCAGACTGGGACCATGTAGCCAGTTCACCTCTCATGCATGTCCTGTGGCGGTGAGAGGAAACCGGAGTACCCAGAGAAAACCCACACAAATTCCACAGATAGCAACTCTAGCCAGGAATTTTTTTTCCATTAACATTATAATGAAATGATGTTATCTGAGGACCTGCTGTACATATTTCATTGTAACTCAGGGGCAGCTTGACAAACGTAGAGAGTCTTGCCCACTCTATAAAGACATTTGAAATGCCCCTCAGGTGTAGGCCCTACTGGGGATATTTAAAACCACTCCCTTGGTGACCTGCAGTTGCTCCCAAAGGAAGACATTTTAGTATAGTGCTTCAGGGTAGCTGAGAAGCTAGAGTTAAGATTTGGCATAATATGCACCCCCTGCCCCAAGTTTCTTCAGATGTGATTCTCTATCCAGTGCTGCTGGAATCTTTCGTTGGTGTAGCCAACTGGATCAAATTTCCACTTCCTTGATACTTTTCCTCAGCTGGAGCAAAAAGGTCAATGGTAGAGGTCAGACGTCATTCTCTATCAGGACTTCCTACGGACTGACACCTGGGAGAGAGGTACATTTCAGATAGACACCTCTCAGCTCCCTGCACTGGAAAGGAAGTGATAGTTATCACCTCAACTATCACCACTGGCAAACCAAGTGTGGAGGGGCTGTGAGACACCAGCTCCACCTCCCTGGAGATACCACATTTAGAAAGTGCTCACTGAATTCCCTCAGTATCTTCAGCTGGAGCCAGACAGGGAGGAAGACAAACTCCGTAACTCTAGAGTCGTCTCAGAGGTGTGAGTTTTAAGACAGCATGCAATATGAAAAAATCACCTTAGAGTTTCTATCCAAAGCGATCCTTATTTTAACTTGTTACTGAAGAAGTTGTGTTTAGGGACAAGTATGTGGTAAAAGGCACTTTATGTACTTATTTATATCCACAAAATGATTTTGTAGATAAACGTATATAAATTTAAATGTGTATGAGACATTCCATGTTGATAGACCTTTTTTTTTCTTAGAGACAGAGCCTCAAGCTGTTGCCCTGGGGTAGAGTGCCGTGGCATCACAGGCTCACAGCAGCCTCCAGCTCCTGGGCTTAGCCAGGGGTCCTCAAACTTTTTAAACAGAGGGCCAGTTCACTGTCCCTCAGACCGTTGGAGGGCTAGACTGTGGGGCCCAGGACGAGTCAGCTGCTAAGCAGGACAGACAGCAGTGGCAAAAACACCTGGCAGGCCGCATAAACATGCGGGCTGCATGTGGCCCGCGGGCTGTAGTTTGAGGACACCTAGAAGCGATTCTCCTGCCTCAACCTTCCAAGTAGCTGGGACTAGAGGTGCCTGCCACAATGCCTGGCTATTTTTTGGTTGTGGATGTCATTGTTGTTTGGCAGGCCCAGGCTGGATTCGAACCCACCAGCTCTGGTGTAGGTGGCTGGCGCCTTAGCCACTTGAGCTACAGGCACAGAGCCCAGATACATTTCATAGGTTTAGCCCCCTCTGTTTTTAACATGTTGATGTTTTTCCATCAACATTATAATGATGTTATTTGAGGACCTGCTGTACATATTTAATTGTAACTCGGGCAGCTTGACAAAGGTAGAGAGTCTTGCCCACTCTTCCCAGCAACACTGGGTCAAAACAAGCACCATGTAGTACCTTCCAACCAAGTGGGAGGCTGAGTCAGGAAGGGCCAGGGTTCCTGAGTGCTCAGGTTTGATTTCTTCAACCTCCATGGGCCTGGGAACCTTTTACATTCCCCAGGCTAGGCCACGCCCCCAACCAGTTAAGCCACAGCATTGGGGGTGGGACACCAATGTCCCATGTGGAAACAAGTTTGAGAACCTCAATAAGGAGGCATAAGGCCTTCATCCACTGAAGCAGGTTGAACTTTGACATTTAAAGCTGAAATATTCAATGTCAATCCTGGTTCACTGACAACTAGAAATGGTAAACTTTTCCCCTTTTTTTTTAAAGAGAGAGGTTCTTACTCTGTCACCCAGGCTGGACTATAGTGGCAAAGTCATAGCTTACTGCAGCCTCTAACCCTTGGGCTCAAGCAATCCTCCTGCCTCAAGTTGTTAAGACTACAGGTATACACCACCACGCCAGTCTAGTTTTTTGGCTTGTTTTTTATTTTTTTTTAAGAGACAGGGTCTTGCTTTGTTGCCCAGAGTGGTCTCAAACTCCCGGCCTCAAGTGATCCTCCTGCCTTGGCCTTCTAAAGTGCTGGGATTCAGGTGCAGCCAGTGTGCCTGGCCCCTTTCCCCTTTTTATTTAATGTTTAAATACTTGAAGTAACAATTTCTTCCTGTCTTTCAGATGTAGAATCAGGAGTGGGGAGAATGAACTACCTTCTGATTGTATTCAGTCTACAGGACCAAAACTTGTAGAATTTTCTCACCTAACCCTGCTTACCTCCCTCCAGACACAACCACTCACCACTGTTAACTGTCCGTTTTTATCTTTATAGACTTGTTCTTCTGGTCCAGTGTTGAAAGCTATGGTGCCTTCTTTTCCAGGACTAATATAAAACTGTAAACTTAAAACACACAAAGTGACAAGTTATACACTCTGTTTTCTTCCCTCAGCCTTTAGTCTGCAAAAGAAATTCACTTATGAAACTTAACTAGTTTCAAGATTGGATTCCTATTTTATTGTATATTTGAGAAATCCAAAGAAAACCACTTCTACAGCTGGGCAACTGATAGGTTTCTGTAGTTAGTGTCAAGGTAATTTAGCACATTCAGTTCTTCTACATGCCAATTTGATGCTGAGGCATCACCTACACATCTTCACACTGAAACAGTCACAGGACAGCATTCCTTGGGAGGTCCAGCAAAACAGAAACGGCACTTTTCATAGCTTTCCCAGGAACACGGATTTGCTCATCAATTAAAAACAGCACAAGTATGAGGGGAAAGAAACAA